CCCACGTAAGCCGCCGATGCTATTGTTAATTTTGTTGTAACATATTTTCCCAAGTCAGATTGACGTCATTAATGTTCATACTTGCATGCAAGATTTGTAGTGTAGCATGCATTTGGTTGCAGTTGTAGACTTGTTGAAGCAAAAGGCCTGATATAATAAAATCTACTGCAGCGTTAACGATTTCAGTGGTTAGTGTAAATTAAGGGGTATATCGGTTCCAACGGCTGATTGACAGATCAACTGGTAATACCTACTATTGCATATCTGATGAGGGGTAAGGACAAATGGACCCGTTTGATTTCTCTTACGAGGTGGGATTATGTTGTCAGCATTCAGAAGGTGAACGAAGTACATATTTAAGCAAAACAAGTTGCGTCAGTGGTGTCGCCGTTATCACATAGCTGACAGTGAAATGGTGGAGAAGTTGGAGGGCTTTTTAACAAACCGTGTCATGCTTGACATTTCTTAGGGTAATAGGGGCAGACGCCTCCTTACCCACTTCCCCTCCCCCACATTAGCTCTGTGAAAGCGAATTTCCTCTACTTCCGTTCCTTTTGTTTCAATTCCTTACAGCTATCAGAACGAACATGGTAAGTTTCGTGGCGGTAGTATGCACAGCCGAAACTACTCGTGTCCACTTTTTCATGCGAGAGTAGTGGAGATAAATTTTTTGTTGCAGCTATTCATGAAATCCACTTTCCTAATGGAACTAGTGTCTCAGATTTGCCTTTGGCTAGTTCCGAAAAAAGCCACTGTACCACATTGTGGATGTTGACGGGTTTGGGCAATGCTGATGATAATGGAATTTTATTTCTCTTCATAAACTAATGCCATGTATTACCTTTAATTTAAGTGGGTTGGTAGACTGAGGTGTGTATGACTACATATTGTGCTCCTTTTTTTCAAAATGGCCTCAATTTATCGGCAGTTTTTTTGTACAGGTTCAGCACCTCCCACTCGGCGCGTTTTGTAAGTCCAGAGACGGTACTGGGGATTGTATTGGTTATACATTTTAACAGGAAGTCCTGCTGTGGGATTGGGTAAAAGCGGTGGGCCAGGCCTTAGGTAGAAATGACTTAGGTGGAGATAGGTGAAAATGGACGAAGGGATTAGAGAGCAGTTTGCATGAATTGTTAAAACCCATTG